GTGTAATATCATAGGGAATATTCTCTGATTTCTGAATAACTAACTCTGGCAGATAACATGGGTGGAAAATCTTCAGGTGGCAGAGTAACCAACTCTGAGTAACTAATTCTGGGGCTCTGCCGCCTGGCTCCTCTGTCTTCTTGTGAATGGCTGATAGGTGGCGGTCTGCTCCACTCCCCTAGTGGGTTCTGGAGGGGGTGTTTGGGTCTCAACAGGCTCCTTGGCTTTTAGAACCTTGATCAGATGCATGAGAAGATTTCTCTATGGTGTTGATTTGGAGTATGGATGTTTTTAATGTCTTGTCATGCTTTTTCCGTAAACTATTTTTGTGGTCCCTGTTACAGTCTTACAGATTGTCATGTTTGGTGCCATTGTTACATCTTTTCTCAGTTTAGCAAATTATTTTTGAATTGGGATTATATTATAGGCTATGGACTGATTGATCCTTTTCTGTTTTATATATTTTTCAGAGATTTTTGCTTCAATTTTAGGATGAACTTTATGTCCTATTTACCAGTTAAAGTTTCTTTAATGCAGAGTCAGGAGAAGTCCAACAGTTCAAGTCAAGGAGGGCCAACTCAAAGAGCTTCAGCTTTAGCTGCTTTAAACTCTGCATTTAATCCATCTGGTGGAACCAAAACAGCAGCTCCTAGGCCAGCTACCAAGAGCCAAGGATCACAAAGAGCTGCTGCTGTAGCAGCTCTTTCAAATGTACTTACCGCTGAAAAGAAGAAGCGATCACCCGATGCATCTCCTGCCCGAGCCAGTAGAAGTCCTACACCCACCAGGAGTCCTCCTGGTATGATGATTACAATGATCCTACTGTTTCTTTATTTTATTTTATTTTTTGCTAGAAAAAAGGATATCATATGTCAAGTGATCAATATTTTCACCAAAACCAACATTTTAAACATTGGATTTATTGATGGACACCCTGGCTTGGACAGTCCACTATTCTCTTGGGCCCTTCAGCCAAGCTAGTCTAGCCATGTCAAAGCCTGATCTGATCTGCACTTATTAGTATTACTATCGTCAAGTATGCTCCTTAAGTTCATACTTCTAACCAAGGTTTGGTTCCTCCATTTGCATTTTCATTCAGAAAATTTCTCCATAATGGCAATAGAATATAAGATATTGACTAGATGAGAAATATATAATTACAATATTATTTATCATTATAGATGACCCCAGTAAGTTGTCACCTACATTTTACTTTCTTGTGTAAATTATTTCATTTAGTAAATTGAGGTTTTTGTAGCTGTACCTTGGCACAACGGTTGGGTTCCTCCATTCTGACCCGGGTGACTAGGGTTGAAATCTTGGAAACAGCCTCTCTGTATGTGCCAGGGGTTAGGCCATATACATCTGTCCCTCTTCAGATCCCACATTGGCAGGAGCCTCACTGCTGCCCTTTCTAGTAGCTCTCACCAGGTGTCCAATGGGGGGTTGGCTGAAGTGGGTTTCCTTGTGCTACTCCCCCCCTCCCCCCAATGGGAATTTGGATTAGCTGAACGCTTTAGCTGTTCAGCGGGCTGTGGAACCAATGATGAAGTTCCACACCAGTAATAAATTAATGGGCCCCACTGTAAAAGATGCGGGCCCCATGTATTTAAATACTGGCGTGGAACCTTATCATTGGTTCCACAGCCTGCTGAACAGCTAAAGCGTTCAGCTAAACCTTATGGTTTCTTATTTGGAGGGGGACCTCTATTTTTTGTCTAATATTGGGGTCCGAACTGCTTTTGACCTTGCATTTTTTCTTTCTTTTTTTTCAGTTAGGTTCTCGTCTTAGTTTGATCTCTTTCATGTTGGATATGCTTGTGCTGTGCCCTCTGTTTTGTGCTTTTTGTTATGAATTGAAGATTTTCTTTGCCCAAAAGAAAAAAGAATTAATATGTATTGTTTTTTTAAGGTTTCTGAGGAAGACCCCTGTAACTATCAAACACAGAAACAAGAACCCACTTGTTTTTTCTAACATCATTCCACATCAACTGCAGTTGGCACAAAGAGTGAAAATACTAGTCCTGAGGTGGAGGATGCCCAAGAAACTCAAGAAGTCAAGGAAACAGAGGGAGTAGTATCTGTATCACAAAGCAATGGTGAGGACTTGGTTAAAGAAGTGATACAGCCGAACGAGAATGGAGGTGACGGTACATTTACATATGATCAACTGAAGACCAAGTCAGCAAACCCAGTTAGTGGAATTGATTTCAAGAAAAGAGAGGTTTGTTCTGCTATCATTTTGAAAATGATTATGTTGAATCCTCGTACTTTCTACTTTCAGAGATGAACTAATACTGTTATAAGATCAATGAATTGCCTCTCTTATTTTGAAACTAATACCATGGCATGCACAAAACTGATTAAAGATGAGACCTATTTCATTTATTATTAACATTTAATCTTCTTTTTTGTTAATTTTCATAGGCCTATCTATCTGATGAGGAGTTCCAGACTGTATTGGGGATGACAAAAGCAGCATTCTACCGGCAACCAAAGTGGAAGCAGGACATGCAGAAGAGGAAGGTGGATTTGTTTTAAATCAGTCCAAGTAGTGATTGCTTACATTTTTTTTGCCGGCTTTTATCCATTATGCCTTGTTATACTGTTGTCTGTTGAGAAATGTGGTTATATGTTTAGTCTTGGGTGGCTCTATCTAGGATTTGATGTTTGCTCCATAATGAAGATAGTTGCAGTCAGCTTCATATATTCTCATATCATGCCTGCCTGGGAAAGTGTTTTTTAGTCAACTGCTGCTATTGACCCTGTGATAATCAGGGTTTGTAGTTTTAGGAGAGCAGCAGGCAGGCCATATTCTTTTATTTTTATACCTGAGTTTTACTGTTTGATGTCCTTGGATTGATGTCTAGCGTGTCTAGGGGGGAAGTTGGTCACTGGTCCTTGTGTATTATTTTAGTTTGGGTTTTGAAATGGACTCTTTACTCATTCGTCAAGAAAAAGGGTGTATATGCATTGTAATCATCCAATAGAAGAACAGACTTCTCGTTGTTTGTCTTAATGTTATAAACGAGTCCATGTTGGTTTATCAGCTTAGCATGTTAAATTTCTTCTCTTTGATCTCCCAATTCTACATGGAGAATTGGAGATACTCCAGTTTTAGTGTTAATGTCCTGCTCGCTTTCCGGTAAGTCACTTGCCCGGGTAAGTGCATTTATCCATGTTCTTTTGTTTCTCATGTAAATAAGGCAATGACCATCTTAGCCATAAAATTTCCATTATTAAAAGGGGCATTTTTGTCTCATCTAAGTATTGACAACTTTCTCCTAGATAGGAAAGTTAATTTATTCGCCTAGGAGCTGGTAAGTGATACCTAGGAAAATAAATTTTTCATCTCACATAAATCTGAAAAAAGAAAACATGGGATTCTTGGTCAATGGAAATGCCTTCTCAAAGCAATTTCAAGCTTATTTTGTTATAAAATAACTTTAAAAGACAATTCAGAACTATTTTTTTTCTTTCTTGCAAATTTTTAATTAAGCTAGTTGAACAATCAAATCGGAAGGTTGCACCATTTGATCCATGACCCACTGACAAAAATGGTCATGTGTCCAGTCCGGGTCTGATAACACTGATTAGAAGCATGGCTTTGTTTAAATTGTTTTTTTTTATTTTTTTATTTTTGTGATTTAAAAAATCATTCAGCTCGGCTGTCGAGGTCCTAAAAATGTTAGCTAGCTTCATAATTCACGATTCTGAGGCAAATCCATTGAAGAATACTAGTAAGCAACGTTCTTACACTACTGCGTACTATGCCCTAAAGACAAAGTGGACTAGTACTCAATATGGCAAATAGTATTGAAAAGACGATTAGAATACGCACAAATATGCTAATGTAACTTCCAAATACCCTGCAATACATCAATATTGTGTTTGTACCAATGTACCCCCTGTTCCTGGTGATTAACTATTCTCTGCAAATCAGAATTGGGAATCAATGTCTCCAAGCAAAATTGTCATTTTCAATAGGAAATTCGAAGATTTTACTTCAATGGATAAGAAGGGAAAGTTTTACATCGATTTTATTGATATAAACTTTTCATTGATTTTCAAGGGAAATTTTGACATGAACAGAATTTTACACCGATTTACAAGTTTTAATACCTCTACCAACCACCTTCAAAACTGGACCGGAGTGTAATATAACACCAGTCCAAAGTTTACACTACAAACAATCACAGCCAAAGATATTTTTCTACCTGAAATGATTTGTATTGATCAATACAAATTGCTGTTTCTGTCTGAAACATCAAATTTAATGTTTCAATTATAAATATCAATGACCAGTCCCATACATGTTGTTTTCTAGTTGAAGTGATTCTCACATATGAGAATCATATCTGATGTGATAACAAATATTTCTCACCAATCCTCAAAACATTTCAGATAAAAACAGTAATGGTACCAAACACAACATAAATTTAAGATTCAAGTATAAACACACAACAAATGCAATAATAGTTTGTATGATGCAATATCTTGCAGTCAACATGCTACTGTAATAACTTCAATAATGATCCATTATCTCAAAAATATATTAGATCCATGAGTTTGGAAAAGGATCCGTAAGTGGTCAACCTATAAGCTAGAGTTCAAATGAAGCTATTTTTTTTTAAATATTAATTAATTACTTAAATATACCTTGCGGTTTTACTTAGGGCTGCAAAAAATTCATATCAATCAAACCGACCAACCCGGTCTGACTCAACCCGAGTCGTCCGGTTTTTCACCATCGGTCGGTTTTAGGTTGCAAAGATGGGTAAATCGACGGTTCGATTCGGTCACATGAAAACCAAAACTTTACCGAGTTATCTAACTACTTAATTAGGTTGTCTCTATCCTAGTTACTTAGTTTTTTACTTCTTTGATTCTTTCAAACCGACCAGGTCAGTTTTTCTTAGTATATGGTCAGTTTTGGTTTCATCTTTAAGTAACCCGACCAGGTCGGGTCGGTTGGAAAACACTAGTAAACCGACACAGCCCGATCCGTGAACAACCCTAGTTTTACTAAATTGTATAATGTGATTTCAAAACTACTTAACTATATCTTGTAAAATCGTTTGGCTGTTAGACTAATAGAAAACATTGAAGAGCAAAATTCCCTTCGAATGTTTTTTTTTTAATTTTCAAAATATGAACTTTACAGTACTTCAACACTTCTCCAAGCACATCACCGACAAGTTGTCTAAGGTTGAATTTGGAGGAAAAAAAATTAAAAGATGGACGATTTCACTATCACAGTCATAGACCTTTCGCTGCAACTTCTCACCAGCCCAAAATCAGCCACTTACATATTGAATTTGGTGTAAATATGTTATTGGACTAAACATCCTAGTGCCCAATCGCCGTTATATAGTCGTGATGGAGATGAGATCAAATCAGCCCCCCACAAGACAACTCCCCAGAACGTCTTACAACACATCCCTGTCATTTATTGGGWGCATCTCTCGATGATATGCCTTTTGGCCCAACCTCTATTTTAAACCTCTTCAGCTAGTCCAGTTGTACCTCATTCTTTCTCTCTCTCTTGCATGTAGAACATATCCCTCGGAGGTATGACAATTTTCCCTATCTCCACTGGGGGTCGAGGATGGGTATTGTTTTGATGGGGTAGGACGGGGATGGGCATTAATAGATCCCCAACTAGGATCGGGGTTAGGGATGGGAATGAAGTCTCCATCTCCGTTGGGGGACAGGGATTAGTTTCAAAATCAGGGTCGGAGACTAGGAATATGATCCCTGCTCCATTGCCATTCCTACTCCCTTTCAAGCTCCTCTTTTCGGCTTCTCCATGTACGTGTACACCAACACCTAGTCATTGCTCTCTCTATTGCCAGTACCACTAAACAACGGTTTCATGATGTTGCCATGCCTGATTCTCTCCAACGTTTCCACCTCTTATGGAAACATTCCATCTATCTCCACCTTCCTTCTTCACCACCACTATTTGTCTAGATTTTAGCCTCACCCTATACACCTTTACATGATCCTTCGTTTCCAATTAGGTTTTCCTCTATTAGTGACACAAACACCTCATTTTCCTTGAAACTTAGGTTGTATTTGGTGCCATTGCCACTTACAACATTTTAGGTTGGTCAATACAAATTTTATAAGAATATATATTTTTTCTACCACAAACGCTTTGAGTTATCAATACAACATTTGGTACCATTGTTGTTTCTTAGGCTCCAATTGGAAGGAGTACAGATATAAATATATATAGTGCAAAAGCTTGTATTTTGTATGTATTTATACCGTACATATTTGTATTTGTGTATGCATGTACAAATATAAATATGTAGAGTGCAAAACGTTGTATTTTGTATTATTTTGTTTGTGTTTGCACTTTACATATTTGTATTTGTACTCCTTCCAAACTTAGTTGGCAACCTTAGATTTGGTGTACGCCTGCATTGATACGGGATACACTACGATTGCAAATGTATCCTGCTAGTCGTGCATATCGATTCGATACGCCATCATATCGGTGCGTATGGCATAGTATTAGCCAATACACAGCGATATAAAAGTGTATCGACCAACATCTCTCATTTAAAAAGGGAGGAGCATGACTCGAACCCAAATTGGTGAATGCCCAATGCCCAGGCATGTATGTACATTAAAGACAAAGCCATTTGTTATTTTATGTTAATATGTGTAATAAAATAACTTTTATTAAACTTGATGTTTACATGAAAATAAAAAACAACATACATTTATTTTCAAAAACTTCAACCATAAATTAAAAAGAATAATATTCAAAGTTAGTATTATATATATATATATATCAAAAATGAATTTTAATTTAAAAAATTTATACAAATAAAATATTCATAATAGAATAATTATTTTAATACTTAAATTTTATAAATTTGCATACAGTATATATATCTTAAATTTTTATAAATTATTAATTAATATTTTAATTTGCATTAAATAACAATGTATTTTTTATTTACAAAATTCAAAGTATTGTTTACAAAATATTTGAAAATATAATATAAATTGAATCTATCAAATCCATTAATCTACATTTTATATAAAAAATAGTTTTTTACTTCAAAATTTTATAAAAAATAAAATATTGATAATGGAATAATTATTTTAATAATTAAAATTTATGAATTTTTATATGATATGCATTTTCAAAAGTTTAATAGATTTGATATATTTTAAGTTAAGATTATATATTTTTATAAATTATTAATTACATTTTAATTTAAATTTTATAATAACATATTTATTGTTGACAAAAATATAAATATTATTTATCAAACATTTAAGAATTAATTTGTTAGTTGAATTTTATGTTAATGTTAAAAAATAAAAATATTAAAAATAGAAAAATGATATAATAATTCAAATATAATAGTTGCATATGCTTTATGCCTTACACTTTAATAAATAATAAAATAATATTGGCTTTTTGCATGTATTAATTTGTAAAAATCTATATAATATTTGCCTTGGACTCTTGATTGATGCATTATTAATAAAATTGTATAATATCTACATGTCCTGTTATGTTAATTATAATATATTTTTTCATATTATATATATCATTTAAATATACAATTCTTATGTATTTATATATTATTTATAGTTGTTTTGACCTTAAACTTAATGCTATTAATATATTTATGGAATTTGTGTGCATTCTCTTAGAGTATCCAAGCATTTTCATGTTTTTTCGTCCGTATTCATGCATTTTCCAAGCATATCCGTATCTAAGTTGTTTGATACGATACCCAATACTGATACTTTATTCCTTGCTAACACCCAATCCAATGCCTATATATTTTTTTAATTGAAGTGATTATCTAGTGTAATGTGGCAGGGCAATTTCTCAAAATTTTGTTTTGACCAACCTAAAATGTTACTAGTAAAAGTGGCAGTGGTATCAAATACAAGCTTAGTTAGTGAAATGACATCAGCTTTCATACATCTTTATTTATACCAATTTGTTATTTTGGCTCAATTTGGAAAGAATACAAATATAAATATGTACAGTAAAAATACATACAAAATATA